AAGCACAAGAAAAGATGCTTAACATCACTAGCCATTAGGAAAATGCAAATTAAAACCACAAGAGATTCTGTTACACCAATACTGGAATGGATAAAATTTTTTAAAAATATTGTGACGATACTAAGTGCTGACAAGAATGTGGAACATTCGAAACTCTCATACATTTCTGTTGGGAATGCAAAATAGTAAAGCCACCCTGAAAAACAGTTTGGCAGTTCCTTATAAAGTTTCTTATGAAGTTAAACAAACACTTACCATTTGACCCAATAATCCCATTACTGAATATTTCCCTTAGAGAAATGAAAACGTGTGTTCACACAAAAATTTGTATATGAATGTTTATGGCAGCTTTATTTGGAATAGCCTCAAACTGGAAAACAAAACAAATATCCTTCAATATGCAAATGGATAAACGAACTATACTATTCAGCAATAAAAAAGAATGAACTATTGATACTTGCAACAACATAGATTAATCTTGAATGCATTACGGTAAGTGAAAAAACCCAGTCTCAAAAAGCTACATACTGTATGATTCCATTTGTATGACATTTTGGAAAAGGCAAAATTATGGGGAGCAAAACACATCAGTGGTTGCCAGAGTTAGGAGTGAGGGGAGGTTCCACATTCTGTCCGTGATGATGGTTACAAGATTCTATGCATTTACAAAAGCTCACAGAACTGCATACCAAGCAAAAGTTAATTTTACTGTATTAAAATTTTAAAAATTAAAGCAAAAAGGAAAACCTTCTCTTACTTTCTCTCAAACTTCTTACACCCTCCTTCCCTCCCCTCTACCACTGGAAGCCTCCTTAGAATAGTGTCTTCTCAAACTTCACTAGGTTTTCTTCTGACCGTCGCCTACTTATTTTTTAGGGAATTTGTCCGTTCTTTGGCTAAAGAACGTATATAGGCTGATAACTACTGAATATATGTCTCCAGCCCAGCACTCTTTCCTGAGCTCCAGACCTGAGGAACCAAGTGCTTTTCAACTCCACCCCAACCAAAAAAAAAAAAAAAGATCCATTTCCTGTTTTGCTCTCTCTCCTTTTCCCTCACCCCCACCTAATTAATCACCAAGGCATGTTGGTTATAATTCTTTTCTAGGTCTGGAAGCTGTGCACTTTTCTCTATTCTAATTACTATGACCTCTAGATCACGTGTCATCTTTATCGCTGAAATAGCCTCTCAACTGGTCTCCCTGCCTTCAATATTGTACCCCTTCCAGTCCATTCTCCATATTACAACTAGAATGATGAAAATTTCGAATTTGTTCATGGCTCTTCCATTGGCCTCAGCATAGTCTGAACTCCTTAACATGATTTACAAACCCTTTCATGATCTGGCCCCTACCCATCTCTCCAGGCTCATCTCACAATTCTCAACTCTGAAGCTTCCCCTCCACTGGTCCTATCCCCACACTCTATGCTTGAACCGCACTCTGCTTCATTCAGTCCCTCAAACATGCCCCTGACTGGGATGCTTCCTCAGCAACCTCCCACCTCCTCCACCCCAGCCCCCTTTAGCTGGCTAGATAATATTTATCCTCCAGGTTTCAGCTTCCACGTCACTTATTCAGGGTATCACTGACTGACCCCACAGCTGAGCTATATGTCTCTTCTCGGTGCTACCATAATACTGTTACAAGAGACTTTTGTTCTGTGCTGTAATATTTACTTGTCTGCTTCCCACACAAGATTGTAAGCTCCTTGAGGGTAGTGACTATGTCTTGTTCACATTTTAGTACCAGCCCCTAGCACAGTGCCTGGCACATGGTAAGTATTCGATAAATATTTCTTGAATGAATGAATGAATGAGAAGGAGGGAGGATGGAAAACAGTCTCTGAAAACAGACCTCTGATTATAGGTTATTATTTTTCTTTATTCTTTTCTATATTTTCCAAGTAGTCTATGATGAACATGGATTGCTCTTATAATCAGAAAATAATAATACATATTAGAATTAATTTTAAAAGTATATTACCTGGGTGTGGTGGCATGTGCCTATAGTCCCAGCTACTCAGGAAGCTGAGGCAGAAGGATCGTGTGAGCCCAGGAATTCAAGGCCAGACTGGGCAACATAGTGAGACCCCATCTCTAAACAAAAGTATATTAAGCATAGTCAGAATAGAAAAGAGAAAAATCTATGAATAAAATTAAAATCACTCATAATCATACCACCTAAAGATTACTCTTGCTAACATTTTATTATATCCTTTCCAATATTTTCTGTGAATATATTTTTTAAACATTAAGATCTTACTATGTTCTGTTTTGAATTCTGCTTTTTTCACTAACACCAAAAATAATTTCTCATTATTTCAAGGTACTGTTTATTTAACCATTCTCTGCTACCCAACATTAAGATTTTGTCCAGTTTTCCACTATTATGAATAATGTGAATAATATCATTGAATCTAAGTTTTTCTGCTCATTTATAATCATTTCCATAGAAAAGAATCCTTAGAAGCAAAATTACTGGCATGAATTTTTGAAAGGCCCAATGTATATGGCCAAATTATTTTCCAGAAAGCTTATGCTAATAAAAGCTACTTGAAGGCCTACTATATGCCAGATATTGCTTTAGGTAGATTTTATTATGCCTGTTTTGCAGATATGAAAACTAAGGTCCATTGACATTATTTGCCCAAGAGGCAAAGCTATAATAGAATTCAAATTGAGAATTGCCCAATTTCAAAGCTCATGTAATTTCTGTGTGGATTTTAAAAATAAATTATTTTTAAGTTATCAAATTATACATTAACTAAAGAAAATATGGAAAATACAAGTAGAAAGTAGAGAAAATGAAAACAAGTTACCCATGAATCCACCACTTTCAACAGTTCAGTGCATTTCCTCAGTCTTTTGTTCCAGGTAACAATTTTTGGGTTAAAAATAACAATAGCATTTTGCATCCTGCGTTTTTCACTTAACATTTTTCAGTGCTAATCTGTACTTTTCATAGTGGTTGCCTATTATTGTCAAATGGGTGTTAACGTGTGAATAATTGAATATTTACGGTTGTTCAGCTCACCTGTGAATTTCTTCTCTTCATTCCCAGGATCCACCATCTCCCACGAGGCTTACAGAGTTCAGTGTTGGGAACCATTCTAATCTTCAAAATAAGTCACCATGTTGGATTGAAAGCTTCACAATTTGAAAGCATTCCATCAAATACTTGCTGTGCAAATGTTTCAGGACTTTACACTATTTAATTTACTGACTGAACTCCAATTTGGTAGCAGTTAATTCAAGCCAGTTTTCCTTTCTTTCTTCATTCCCCCCCCCGCAATCCGTGAAAGCCTAAATGTAAAATATATATTTTTTCATTCATTTTATCAGGTAAAAGGGAATTCAGAAGACTTCCCTGGAGTCTTTAATTCCCATAGAAAGACTATTCATTATATCTATAGGGTCTTTTTGGCGTCGAAGGGAATCAGACTGCATTTGCTGCTTGCGTGCATGTGCATTTATAAACGTGTATGTGCAGCATATCTATACAAAACTCTGCTATTGTGTTGTGAAAATTAAGATTAAAAAATCTGAGGCATTTATTTAATCATGCCTTTTCTCTAAATAGCCATTTAAATATTTGCCGAGCTTTGAACCATCCCTACATCAGGTATCTAAAATTCAAGAGGGTGATTCAATACACTGTGACCAAGGTCTTCAAATTGGGGATCGAACAACAACGTAAAACCCGTCCTCTGTCACAGAGGTTCCTGAAAGTACCACAGCTAATTGAGAAGATCAAATCAGATCAGGTCAGGACTTCCACTTTATTAAACATAACAATTAGTGTTTTAAAGACCTTTAATGCCAGGCTGTGGTAAAATTCTCCAATTACTTTTATTCATTTATCTGCTACCTACCTTTATTTTAGCCTTTATGAATTACTTTTATGATAAGAGAAAAACTACAAGCCTAAATTATGGACCATAGGTTTTGTTAAGGGTTTTTCAGGGTCATTTTCAGGTTTAATGACAATACTATTCATAAGGGTAAAGTTTCACAGCTGACATTAGCCTGAGGATTAGCACTAAAAATCTGTTTTCACAGCAAGGGTTAATGTACAGATAGTGATAACCAAATATGCCAGTCCTTCCTTTGGTCTGTCCGTCCTTCCTTCCTTCCTTCCTTTCTTGCTTTCTTTTTTCTAGCTTCAGTGGTAGTTTGGCCATTAAAATAGTTTACATCCATTTCCCCATTTATTTATAATCAACCTTTCTTTCAGTCCTAGTGCCTGAATCAATGAGTATGAACACTAATGCTGCTTCTTTACAATAATAATACCTAAGAGTATTGATGTTTTTCATTTTTCAACCAGCACTCCAGTGCCCACCTGCTGACAATAAAAGCTCACAACTCTTACAGAGATCAGTGGGAGTTAGAGGCATTTTACAGATATCAAGGAATTGAGCTTCTAGAAGGATTGTTAGGTTTACTAAATTATCCCCCCCAAAAAATCTTCTTGAGTAAAAGAGAGTTGCCTGCCACAAACAATTCAGTGTTGGGGCTCCAGTGGAGCTGAGAAGGTGGGCAGTCCAGCTTTTTAAAGCAACAACAAAACCTGTTCATTTGGACCCCCAGGTAATTTTCACTAAAGTGAGTTTTTTGTTTTGTTTTGTTTTGAGACAGGGTCTCACTCTGTTGCCCGGGCTAGAGTGCCGTGGCGTCATCCTAGCTCACAGCAACCTCCAACTCCTGGGCTCAGGCGATCCTCCTGCCTCAGCCTCCTGAGTAGCTGGGACTACAGGCACGCGCCACCATGCCGGCTAATTTTTCTATTTTTTGTAGAGACAGGGGGTCTCACTCTTCCTCAGGCTGGTCTTGAACTCCTGACCTCAAGCAATCCTCCTGCCTCAGCCTCCCAGACCAAGGTGAGATTTTAGCATAAATCAAACGGATGGTGGTCAGCATTTCATTTGAGAGAATAGAAGACATGAGTAAATCTATTAGGGCCTGTTTCTCAAACTCAGAAGCCAAGAAGCAGTCTAGAAGACTATGCACACTGAGTTTCATGACGAAATCTTATATGTGCAGATGGAAAAAAGTTATCCTGCTTCTGCTCTTTCTCTAAAACATTCTCTTGTTTAGGTTTCTCTTGAAAGGTTATTTGGTCATCCACATGGTCTTCTGACGGACAAGCCTTGCCTACTATTCATATAGAAATGTACCGTTCTCTAAATGCAGGGCCATTACTTACTACACAGACAGTAGGCCTCAAAGCAATCTTCCCCTTTCCCATCTATCATCTTCTGCCAAGAGTTTAGGCAGAGCAGCTGCTAACTATGATTCAAAGTCAGAAAGGCATCAAGAACTTCTTTGATGCATAGAGTGTATCAGCACTCAGTTCGCACAGAAATCGGGTCATAAAGGAAACTACAGGGAAGCACTGGGAGGGTAAAACTCAGGAGACCTATAATGCAAAGCTGATTGTCTAATGTCTTGCAGATTTACACTATCTTCAAAAAGCCAAAAAGATCAGGGTTTGGGGGGAAATGCAAAGATGATTGTCAAATGTCTTACAGATTTACACTATCTTCAAAAAGCCAAATAGATCAGGGTTTTGAGGTTTTTTTTGTTTTGTTTTGTTTTGTTTTTTTGTAGAGACACGGTCTTAACTGGACTGGCCTCGAACTCCTGGCCTAAAGCAATCCTCCCGCTTCAGCCTCCCAAAGTGCTGGGATTACAGGTGTGAGCCACTGTGCCCACCCTAAATCAGGGTTTTACCTGGGGCTTGGAGAAAATAGAAACCCTATTCTTATCTTAGCACCTTGATCCCATTAGTTTATAGACTCTGATGATATCCCTATCCATGGATCATTTGAGTATTGACCAATGTACATAGGCATCCAACTGGTTGATTACTGATCAAGAAGACAGAGAGGTTTGTTTAATAGTTAGCACACCCTGATCTGGCTCCTTTGCTTGCATTTCCTTGGAGCCCTATCCAGTAACCCCGTGGGATCTAATTCCCCAATCTTTGGTACTCATCTTCCCCATTTGCGAAATGAAGATATTTGTTGTTAGAATCCTACAGCTGAAAGGTGCTATGTTAACTCCCTAGTGCTCTTATGTGTCTTTAATTTCAGGACTAGAATAAAAAGTTTAATCATAATAGTATTTCTAAGCAAAACAGTATCCTTCATCCTTTCTTCCCTGCTCATTGCTGATTTGTTCTTACAGAGCTTAGAGCACTTTGTTAATGTTTTCCCGTTTGTTCCAACAATGTCCTTGGAAAGAGAATTAAAATTATTTTCCCCATGATAGAGCTGGAAAGATTAAGGGGAAAAAAGATGAAGTGCCCTCTAAAAGCACATAGCTGTCTTGGGCTGAGCCCACAGTTACCATGTCCAGTATACTGTTGACTTGGCTTCCTAGTACTGGAATTACCATGGAACAGCTTAGAACATTAAGAGCAATTAGGACAGGATCACATTCCAAAAGAGTCCCACTTTGTCAAAAATCTCAAAGTATGCAATTTATACAACTCTTATTTTCTGTGTGATAGAAATGCAATATGTGCCTGTTTCCCCCACTTGCCCTGTGTGACACATAACTTTCACCAGCGCCATTATCTCCTGTGGCACCCAAGAGCCCAATCTCAGGCTGTCTTTGCCAGAAAGAAGAATGTGCTTCCCCATGTTTATGCCAAATTGCACAACGTGTAGACATTGAGGTTAATGGAGATTTAAGCACAATCTTAGCAGGTATGTTTTAAGAGTATTAAATACACATTATTGTAACATGCACCTAAAATTTAACAAGGCCCAAATTCACAAGAATATAAGTCATTCAAAGCCTATCCTTTTTTCCTCTTGTCACACATATCTACATACACATGTGCCCATACACGAGCGCACGTGTGCACACATACACACACACACACTTTCCCCAAAGCAGGCTGCCTGGTTATCAAGAGCAAATATTTTAAAAGAATGATTCTCTGTCCTCTCCTTTTAGAAAAAAGTCTAACAATCAAACCAGGTGAAGAACATTCCATTTATACATTCCAGAACCTCTGCTCTCAGAGTGGCTGAGAGACTGAGTTGGTACAAAAGACATGTTCTATGCAGTGGCATCTAACAAGATCATCAGGCTCTTCCACAAGTCTCATGTTCTTAGAAAACTCATGAGCTCCATCCAGTTAGTAGGAAATGGTAGGAAATGGTTGATTAGGTATGGTACATCTGCATTTCTTCAACCATAGCTGTAATGTACCATATTAAATTGTAACCTTTTGCATGTGGGATGTAATATAATAACGAATGGGTGGCTCCTAACAGCATGCAACCCATGAGTGTTTACTTCCCCGAAAGGGCTAGGGCTGTGTCCTGCACAGTGTCCAAAACCATTAAATGTGTTATTTGGAGCAGCCTGTACACGGCCATCAGCAGAACGAACTAAAATAGACAATTCAATATATCAGGAAATAGATTCTTAACAGGGAATGGTGTTGAAGGAAAAAAACAATAAGATACATTCAAGGAATAATTGCTTTCACCCTGCTGGCTAAATCTGCAAAGGAACATAGCAGGAAAGCTGGGACTGGGTCTTGGTAATAATACATGAACTGTATTGGAGAACCAGAAAAAGAAAGGCACTGGGGACCTCAGCAGCTAAGCTCAAGTTGCCAATTTGCCACAAATCCTTTTTTTCGCCAATCTGCTAAAAGTGATTGTATATAGTATTCTTAAAACCATGTGTCTTGCTGCAGAAATACTGACAATGCTGGCCAGCTTTATCTTCCTATGTCCTTTATTAAAAGTATATGCATAAAATTGTTGTTTCTTTTCTATATTATGGTTTTGTTAAACAATGTCAGCAAAGCCTAAAGTTTCAGACCACGCTAATGGAAATTTCTGTACATCTCATTTCATGGGGGTATAGTGGAGTTTATTCGCTCCTACATTGATTGGTATGTGTTGTATGTAGACTCCTCCGTAACATGTCATTTTCTGAATATCCCCCCATCTTATGTGTTCAGTATTTCTTTCTTATGTTCCTACATGAATATGAGTTAGGAAATGAGTAACAATGGCTTTGAGATAGAAAGCTGACCAGTCTAATGGCACTTAATCATGTTCAGCCTTACTCAGCCTCACACACTTCTGCCTTTCACTCTACCATTGTGATAAGTAAAAGAAAAAAGAAAGAACTTGTCATGTGTGCCTAAGGGAGATGTGAACTGCAGTTTGCTTTTTCTTACATTTTAGACTATGTTTATTATTCTCCAAATGCATGTCACCTGTAAAAAAGAATACAATGGTCCTGAGAAAAGAACACAGTAGCCCACTTGCTCCTAAATCATACATTACCCTCAGAAAAGTATTTGAAGAGACCCTCATTAAGTAAGCCCCAAATAAAGTTTCCCTCAGTCAATGCACCATTTGCACAAAAAGTTCTTTTCATACAGAATGGAGAAAGCCCCCCAATTAGCCAACCAAGAAGGCAGAAGTCATTGAAAATGCAGAGCATTGAAAGCTGGAGTTTGGAACAGTCATTGCTGAGTGTCTGACTAAATAATGGAGAACTTGAATCACTTAGGAGAGGCCCAATCCATAGAGGTCAGACTTAACACAAAACTAGAAAGAAGTCTTTTATTCCAGCTAAGTTTATAAAAAAGTACTTACTTTGTCCTAGGTAAAGACCTCAAATATCTCTGCTGAAAATCCCATTTCATTATTTCAATGCATCAGCTACAAACAGCTTGAATTTGCATCACAAACACAATGTAAAAGAATTCATATCATATTAGAAACAAAAGACAACTAATTTCTTTCTAGA